TCCTCTGATGATCAGTCCTGGATGGATGTTCAGACTGATGCTACCCTTCTCAAGTTTGCTATATGTGTATTTTGTGAAGACATTGGCAGGATTATCAAGGAAAAGGGCTGCCTAGCAAGTGCCTAGGTACCAGAGTTAGCGATGTTGCTTAAATTAGCATGATGGTCTCCCCTTAGAACAGCATTAACAGGACCATGCCAGAAGGCACTATTGAATCCTCTGCTGTGGTTGTTGTACAGTTTCACATGCTAGAGTTCAAAGAGTTAGCTTCCTTGCCTAGGAAGTTTGTCAACCAGTTTGTGCTACAGTCCAAAGTAGCACCCCAAGATGGGAAAATTTGATTTCTTGAATGTCTTGTGATGGTAGAACGTCAGTCTATGCTGTTCAACATGATGCAAGGTACCCGTCATCAAAAACCTTCACAAGTGTGAAGACATAATGTGCTTACCCAAATTTATGACATTCTTGCATTTCATTCCATTACACAACTTTGTCAAAGATATTTGAACTATTTAATCATCTTTGCCATTTTTAATTGACCTAAACCAGCAAAGTCTCATGTCAGCAATTACAGCAGATGAGCAAGTCCTACTGTTCCCTTGAAACCATCTGTAGCGGTCTGACTCTTTAAATGCAGGTCTTCACCAGAAGTTGAGAAGATTGTCAAGCTTAATCCTAACCACTGTGGTGGTTAAATGTAAGCCAGTCTTCAACGCTAAGGGGGAAACGTGCTTAGGATACGGGACGCAAGACGCCTCTAAAGGGTAGTCAAGTGTCTGACAATTATCTGTATGGTCTTTACTAAACAATGTCTAAATGTAATCTTGTATAATAAATAGGTATCCATATTATGACTGAATTACACACTCAGAGAAATACAGAACTTTTTATAAGATCATACGGGGAGTGGGAGATCTCAACGATGTTATGTGTTACCCAGCGGACGGATTCCACAAGGAAAACATGAGTCCGGCCGTAAATAGAAGAGTAATCAAAAGAAAAAGATACCATAACAACGTCATATTTATAAGATATATCAGTACAACTTGGCTCTGTTATATATTTATAAAATAAAACATCAGTACAACTTGGCACTTTAATAACCTATTTACAAGACTATGGCCATGCGCCCATAAGGCAATGTTTGTCTATGTATTACTTTGATAACCATGACTATAGCTATACATGCATATATGAATTCAGAAGTTGTACTGTCACTAAAAATAAAGTTTGTGATTTAAATTATTATATTTTATATAGTGATATTTAATTTGGAAGTAATTGTTGATAAATAAAAAAGGAAATTTTTACCTGGTACTAGTAGTGTTAAAAAACCTTAAGAAACATTAAATTCAGTAGCCACTTTTCTTGAGAAAACCTGAATACCTTATCAGCAGAAAGAATGTATTCCTTAAAAGATTTGATATTTATGCTGGCATACATCAGAAAAAAACTAGTGTAGCATTTCACATCAGCTGGGTTTATATGTTAATACAGACTGATTTAATGAAAAGAACAGGTAAGAATTCAAGATGATAGAAATACCAGATTTATATCTGGAAATATAAATATTTTGATCAGAAAAAACACAAGATTGTGTGTTTGTTCTACTTGGATATTTGATTGTGTGAATGGTTTGGCAGGCTGGCGGTACCATATATACCATACCATATCTAGTTTATAAAAGCTGGTTAGCCCATCCGTAGCTGATACATACAGACAAATCAATTATCAGCTGTGGAGAATCTCTGTGATGAATCTACAGCACTCCTGTTAGATAAAATAGATGTGCTTTTCTTCTCTATCACTGTGTTGTGATAATACATTTAGGATTGATATTGAAAAAAGATCTTAGAACACAATTTTCTGTAAAATGGTTTCCAAACATCTATTTTTATTCCTTTTGCCGAGAAGTAGTGTTTTTTCCTCTCACATTTTCACGGTGTAAATACAGAAAGTTCCTCCACATTGTATTTTTGCTACAAATGTAAACCTTTATTTTCATCCATTATTTTTTTTTATGTGGTTTGAACACAAATAAAAAAAAATAATCTGCTTTTAACATTCATTTCATTGTGATTTTTATCATCCAGTTTTCTTTCATTAATTGTGATTCATGTGTAAATTCGAAAAAAACCACAAAAATAATGTCACTTTACACTTTTGTTCTATTACACTTTTAGAAAGATTTTTATAAGAAGGGAAATAACTCAGAGGTAACACTAGGAAGGGAGATAACTTAGAGGTATACATCTACTAATCTCCCACAATGACATACAATGTATGTGTAGCCGCAGACTGGGTGGTATAAATATCCTATTATAAGTTTGGCTGAGGTTAAGATACATAACGAGGAAGATGAAATGAAGGCCTCTGTGAGATATCTCATTGTTGTAGTGTATCGCTGACTACATATTGGGCTACCTGACATATCAAGACAGGGTGTCTGGAGCGAGGGATGCTGGGAGATGATCTGTATCACAGGACCTCTCCCGCCTCGGTGGCTGGCGTCCAGATCTGTTAGACAATCCTTAGACAGCTCTTTGTTTTCTGCTCCACAAATGATGATCTGCTGTGTAAAGCATTGTACTCTGTAAATTGTTCCTGACTCAACTCCACACGATATTATTGAAACAAATGTGGGAAAATTAAACTTTGATCAATGTTAGAAAAAACCAAGTACTCTATGGAATCCCAAATAGCCAAGCATTTGAACCAGAGGTAAAGTTTATGTTATAAAATATAAACATTTTTAATTTGCAACAATAGAAAGCAAGTTAACGTTATATATACTTATATTTATCACTCTTGTTGGCTTGTATGTTAACTTAGAGTACAGGGGTCTTAATGTGGGAGGGAACCAGAGTACCAGTAGAAAACCCACATGGTCAGGCAGATGACCATGTCCAATACTATTTAGGGAACCAAATCCAGGTGGTCTTGGTGAAAGGCAAGTGGGCCATCCACTGCACCACTCGACCATCCCACACTAGTGGGATTGAAATTTGTATTGTCTTGGTGAAAGGCGATGGGCTATATCCACTGCACCATCTGACCATCCCACACGAGTGGGGGGATTGAAATCCGTATTGTCTTGGTGAAAGGCGATGGACTATATCCACTATACCACCCGACCATCACACACTAGAGTGTGTCACAGATGTTCTTTTCTGTTACAATATACTTGTATATAACAATTGCAAGGCATCATGCAATTTACAAAATGTATTTATCAAGGAAAGCAGATTAATGTGCAGTGTTTCACTCATCTTTTTACAGTATCATATCGATATACAGCAGGGTTTCACATATATAATATATACATTTCTTTATTAGGTCACCTGAGCTTTGCTCAAGTGACCTATTCTAATCGCTTTCAGTCCGTCGTCGTCCGTCGTGCGTAAACTTTTTACATTTTCAACTTCTTCCAGTGGATGGATTTTTTTCAAACTTGGTCAGTATCATCCTTGGTAGATGAGGCTACAAAATTGTAAAATTGGGATTCCTACCCCAATCCCTGGGTCCAGGGAGGGGCCCCAAAGGGAAAATTAACCAATATTTCACAAATCTTCTTCTTCAGACTCAGAGGTACTACATTCATTTTCTCTACATGGAAAGAAAGATCATCAGAGGCTTTACTTAAATTGTAAATTTCAGGACCCCCGAGCTATCCATTCTCCCTTGGGGAGGGGGTAAAGTTTACTATAGTTAATATAGGGAAATAACACTTTTGGGTATATTTTGACAATTTTCTGTTGGAAATTATTCTTACTTGGTGAGAATTATCCTTGAAGGAAGATGGTTTTAAATTGTAAAATTGGGATTCCTACCCCAACCCTAGGGGCCAGGGCGGTGCCCAAAAGGGAAAATTAGCCAATATTTCA